CAGTTTTCAAATTTCTTAAAATTTCATTCTAAAACTTCTCCCTGTCATTGTCCTGTATCCATTGAGAAAATGTATTAAGATGACCTCTTTGAAATAGAAAAAAAAAGAGTTACCATAACCTTCTACAGAGTCACTGTGTCAAAAGAAATGGTCATGTTCAACTATTTCAACAGGTAATATATGATTAAGAGCCACTGATACTGTTGGAAGATGTCCAAGCTGCACTTACGGCATTGGCAAAGAGCAAAGCTCCTGGAATTGATGGCATACAAATTGAAATCTTTCAGCAAACTGATGCAGCACTGGAGGCACTCACTCATCTCTGCCAAGAAATCCGGAAGATGATAACCTGGCCAACTGATTGGAAGAGATCCATATTTGTGTCCGTTCCAAAGAGAGGTGACTCAACAGAATGCGGAAAGCATCGAACAGCATCATTAATATCTCAAGCAAGTGAAATCATATTACAGAGAATTTTTAATGGCTGTAACAGTCCATTGACAGGGAACTACCAGAGAGGTTCAAGCTGAATTTAGACGAGGATGTGAAATGAATGTTATCATTGCTGATGTCAGATGAATCTTGGCTTAAAGCAGAGAATAGCAGAAAGGTGTTTGCCTGTGCTTTATTGACTATGCAAAGGCTTTCAATTGTGTGGATCATGACAAGCTGTGGACAACATTGCAAAGTATGAGTATTCCGGTACTCAGTTGTTCTCATGAAGAACCTGCATACAGAATTAGAACCCATTGTTTGACAGAACAAGGGGACACTGAATGCTTTAAATTTTTTTTTAATTAAAAATTTTTTTAACAATAATTAAAACTGAATGTTTTAAAATCAGGAATGTTTTAAAATCAGGGTTGTATTCTTTCACCATACTTATTCAATCTGTATGCTGAATAAATCATCAGAGAAAATGGAGAAGATGGTTTGAATGAAGGAAGATTAATTAACAACCTATAATATGCAGATGACACAACCTTGCTTACTACAAGCAAACAGGACTTAAAATATTTACTGATGAATACTGAAGACCAAAGCCTTTGGTATGGGCTGCACCTC